ATGTTTAGCATGTCTTCATATCTATGAGTGATACCAAATTGCTTGCCTTCTCAAGGAGAGGGCAGGGATGGGAGACAGGGAGAGAATTTAGAACTCAAATTTTAAAAAAATCATTGCTACAAAATGTTTACATGTAATTGGGTAATATTTAATAAAATTAAAAAATTTTAAAAAAAGAAAAGGGCATCAATAGGGCAATTGTCTTAGGTGACAACCTAGAAAAGGCATGGAGAATAAGTAAGAGGTCATAGCATTTATACTTAGTAGGGACTTTGGAGATGATTTATTTCAACTTTCTCATTTTATAAATAAAGAAACTGACGCTCCAAAAAAAAAAAGGGGGCCTTTCCCAAAGTTACACAGTGGCAGAGCTAAAATTGTAATCCAAGGACTTTGACTCAAAATCTTGTACCATGTCTACCATACCACACTGGGTTATGTCAGGGTCTGTGGTGTAAATAGGTGCTCAGAGACATCCCTACACTCCATGGTCAGTCTAGCAGAAAAGAGGGGTCATAGTGGGAATCATAGATCTGGTAGAGAGAGGAGCCAGAATAGAAGAAATAATAATAATGGCTCCTGTTCACAATAGCACTTTTTGCAACATGCCTTAGCTAGGTTACCTCGTCTGATCTTTACAACAACATCATGAAGTAGGTACTATTATTGTCCCCGTTTTTTTCAGATGAAGCAACTGAGAGAAGTCACATAGCTAGTAAATAACTGAGGCAGGATTTGAGCACAGATCTATTCTGATTCTAGGTCCAGTCCTCTATCCATTGCACCACCTATCTGCCCCAGGTGTGTTTAGGAGTGGGAAGGTAGAAAGAGGTAAGGTAGGTTGTCAGGTGCAGTTGTTTTTCCTTGGGTGCAGATTTTGCAAATGCCACCATTTGGGACAGCTGGTGGCACAGTGGATAATGATGGGCCTGGAATCAGGACAAATCTGAGTTCAAATCTGACCTCAGACACGTAATTAGCTGTGTGGCCCTGGGCAAGTAAAAAACAAACAAACTCTGTCTCAGTTTCCTAAGCTATAAAATGGAAATAATAATAGCACCTATTTCCTAGAGTTGTTGTGAGGATCAAAATAAGGTGACATTTGTAAATCACTAAGCAAAATGCCTGACATATTGTGCTGCTTAATAAAGGTTTATTTCCTTCCTTCTGTAGGTCTAACTTGGTGCAGGTCTAGTCAACAATTCATTGTGTGAGAAATGAATATTTCTCTCCTGTATTTAATAACTAATTATTGTATTAGGAACAAAGTTTTTTCCCTTTTCTACTTCTTCATCCAGAAATCAACCAGTGTGAGACACCTCTTTTAGATATTTACCCAGGCCAAGATCTAATCAGACAGTAAAAGAAATTCTAAGTTTAGGCTAACCGGTGTGCTCCTGCTCATTGTGTTTGCTGACAGGTCCTGGGAAAATGTTGATTCTCCCTCTTATCAAACCAGGTGATATGGAAATTGATGTCTCTTTGACCAAGATTTGAGTGACCTAAGTCACAAATGCTAAGATAGCCCACCATTTGATTAACCAATCAAAAGGGATTAGGCATCCCTCAGGAATACATCCTCTTCAAAGGTCATGTAAACTGTGACCCCACCACCATTAGGGGTCTTTGGTCTAAGAGAGAAGGCCAAATGACCATCCTTTTATTAATAACCTGCTGGCCTCATTAATAAAATGATTAAATTACCCAGAAACTGTCTCTCAAACTTTTTAATCATCACAACCACAAGATAGCTAGTTGGGAGTGAATAAGCAGATGAGTGAATAAGAAACCATGCATACATGGCCCCAAGAGGCCAGAGTTAAATGGGAAGAGTTTCAACAGCAAAATTTTACTAGAGCAGCCCTATGTGAGCAGAAATAAAAACCCAAAGATCTAACTGAGCACTGAGACTTTTCTCTAAACACAATAAAGCAGCATCCCTGTTGTCCAATGTCATTCTGTTCTCATAGGGGAAGCTAAAAGAAATGATAAAATTAGATTTTCATTTCATTGGCAAAATATCTTTTATTCTCTATGTTTGTTTTCTTTCATGTCACAAATTTTTAAGGACAAATGAGGCAATTCCCATGTTCCTTTGGCTGCATTTCTGGAGTGCCTTCCTTCTTACTTGAACAGTGAAAATGAAAACCCAAAAGCCTCCTGTGCATTATTACCTTTTTGGGTCACCAGACAGATAGATGCCTAATAATTCTGGGGAATAACTCAATTCTGCATGAAGAGAAGGGCTGGTGCCCTCAAATGAAACTGAAGTGTATCGAAATAGAAGAGGTGTCTCTATGAAGACACACTAAAGAGATCTGGTTTGCTTTTGTTTTTGTTTTTATTTTTAATCTGGAAAGATGAAGACTAAAAGGGAAATATGATAGGCAGCTATAAAATCATGAAAAACAGATATTTACTAGAGCTGAAGGATGAGCACTGAGGCTGTCCCCCAGAAGCAGATAAATTTAAAAGAAATAAAAGGTACTGTGTTACACAGATAGTAACATGTGGAACTCATTATCCCAAGAAAGAGTTATTACTTAAAATAAAGTACATAATGATGTAAATAAAGTCATGGTTTTTAAGGGAAACTAATATGCTTCAGTGATAGAATCATAACAGCTTAGAATTAGAAGGGATATCAGAGATTATCTAGTTATTTTTTAAACATGGTCAGTGTGAGGATTTGTTTGCTGGACTACACATATGAGTTTTATTTTGTTTTGATTTGGGGGAGAAAGATAAGAGGGAGAGAAAGAATAGGGATGGAGTTACCCCCTCCAAAAAATGGGTAGAGCACAGAAGGAATCACAAATAGGACAACTTTGAATGTTACATGTTGAATTGATTACAAGTCTTCTATTTGAAAGTCTTTTCATTAGGAATGCTTGACAGTTCTCTGTTTCATTGAATATCTATTTCCCTCCTTGAAGAATTATGCTCAGTTTTGCTGGGTAGGTGATTCTTAGTTGTAACCCTATCTCCTTTGCCCCTGAAATATCATATTCTAAGCCCTCCAATCCTTTAATGTAGAAGCTACTAAATCTTGTGTTAACCTGATTGTGGTTCCACAATATTAGAATCGTTTCTTTCTGATTGCTTGCAATATTTTCCCCTTGACTGGGAGCTGTAGAATTTGGCTATAATGTTCCTGAGAGTTTTCATTTTGGGATTTCAGGAGGTGATTGGTGGATTCTTTCGATGTCTATTTTACCCTTTGGTCCTACAATATTGGGGCATTTTCCCTTGATACGTCCTTGAAAGATGATGTCCAGGCTCTTTTTTTGATCATGGCTTTCAGGTAGTCCAATAATTCTTAAATTATCTCTCCTTGATCTGTTTTCCAGGGGGTTTTTTTGGGTTTTTTTCCCCCAATTTACATTTTCTTCTGTTTTCATTCTTTTGATTTTGTTTTATTGCTTCTTAATGTCTCATGGAGTCATTAGTTTCCACTTATCTAATTCTAATTTTTAAAGAATTATTTTCTTCAGTGAGCATTTTTACCTCCTTTTCCATTTGGCCAATTGTGCTTTTTAAGGAGTTCTTCTCTTTAGTGGATTTTTGAGCCTCTTTTATTATTTGGCCTATTCTGTTTTTAAGGTGTTTCTTTAGTATTTTTTGTTCCTCCTTTACCAAGTTGTTGATTCTTTTTTCATGATTTTCTTTCATTACTGTCATTTCTTTTCCCATTTTTCCCTTTACCCCTCTTATTTGATTTTTAAAATTCTTTTCAAGCTCTTCCAGGAATTCATTTTGAGCTTGAGACCAATTCACATTTTTCTGAGGCTTTGCATGTAGACATTTTGACTTTATTGTCTTCTTCTGAGTTTGTGTTTTGATCTTCCCTGTCACCAAAGTATCTTTCTATGGACAGGATCTTTTTTTTGTTCTTTTCTCATTGTCCTACCCTATTTCTTCACTTTTAGCTTTATATTAAAGTTGGGCTCTGCAACCAGGGTGGAAGGGGCATTGTCCCAAGCTTCATATTTTTTGTGCAGCTGTTTTCAGAGCTAATCCTAGGGGTTTGTAAACTTTCAGTTCTTCCAAGGTAGTATGATCTAAGGAGAGGTATGTTTACTACTAACCTGGCCTGTGCTCTGGTCTGTAAGTGACAATAAATACTTGTTTCAGCCCTGGAACCGTGTCCAGAGCCCCTGCTCTCTTGTGACCACAAGCTCTGGTGTGCTAGTGCTCCTCTTTGCCCTGGGTCTGTGACCCAGGCCTACAATCTAGCTCTGAGTAATGGTAATGCAATACAGCTCTGCAGCCAGTGCCAGCGAAGTGACCCCAGTAATCTCCTTCTGACCAATTGTCCACCACTCTTACCATCTGTTGGCTGAGATCTCCAGAAGTAGCTGCTGCCACTGATTTAGTTGCTCCCCAAGCCCTGCTGCTGCTTTGCTTGGATGATTGCTGTGCTGACGCAGCTGCCCTGGAGTGCACTCCACTCTCACCCCAGTGTGATAGACCTTTCCTGCTGACCTTCTCAGTTGTCTTGGCCTGCAAAATTATTTCACCCCATCCTTTTGTGGGTTCTGCTGCTCCAGAATTGGTTTTGAGACATTATTTACAGTTGTTTGTAAGGGAACTTGAAAGAGCTCAGGTGAGTCTTTGCCTTTTCTCCACCATCTTGGCTCCTCCCTAATTATATACATAAAAGGAAAAGCAAACTTGACACAATAGAGAGTCATAGTTTCATGTATATTTCTCTCTGTCCTAGAGTACATATGGAAATGCTCATTTTAATTGGTGTTTATTAAGTTCAAAAGAAAAATAATTGTTTATCTTGATATAAGGGAGTGTTTCTCCCCACTTCAGATGATAAAGAAGATCCAGAACATAATGGCAAGTTGTTAATGGGGTGTTTAACTGTAAAGATGTGTCTATACCATGATCCCTTTATGAGGTAAAATCTGCTTGGTTCAAGAAGGGAACAATGCTATTGGCTGAGTAAACAAATTAGTCAAGCCTTTGGGGGTTTTAAAATAGCTAAGTCCTAGAGGAATTTTAGTAGTCCAAGAGCCAAAGAGAATGTAAACTGGGAGTTGCCTGCAGAACAGATCCTTGAGGTAATTGCTGGGTGAGGAAAGAGGATGGGACTTTTCTTTCCTCCTCCACCCAGCCATGTAACTTCAAAGGGGAGCTACTAACAGGAGAAACTTCATCCAGCTGGAAGCAGAGGCACACCTCAGATATGCATAGTTACAAAGAGGTAATTCTCAAGATAATACTCAAGGGAGTAAGCAACTTTGAGGAAAGGGACTCTTGGCAGCAGAGAAGAGAACTGGTTATGAAAAGGAGCAGACTCTGGGAACCTAGCTAAGCAAACCCACTCAGAGGAAACATTGTACTCAGTATGAGGAACTTTGCTACAGGAGAATCACAGGGCTTCAAGCCCTATAGTTTCGAAATTATGAGTTACCTTGGCTTTGTATTTCCTACATGCATACCTCACCACAATTTTTACACATTGTGCCTACTTTTCTAATTGACATTGTATGTATTTGGGGGAAAGTGAAAACCAAGTTTATGAGGGAAAATTTTTTGCAGCTACTGTTTTTACTATGCTATATGTAAATACCCTCACTTAGAGTTGATGGTGTCTACTGGCTGATTATTAATGGGAAGCACACCAGTGGGGGTTAATAAATTATAGTGTTAAGAGTGCAGACTCATAGAGTTACCCTTAGAAGCTGAGATAACAACTATCCTCTAGGGACCTGACTTGCCACTATGAATGCAAGTCAGAGAAGAAACCCAGGGGGAGGGGGGGGAAGGGTGCTACATTGTGAAGGCTTCATCTAGGATATATTTGGGTACCCTATATATGTTTAGGGACTCACTGGCGAAATTCTCTACCAAAAAACTCTGCTTCTTAGAGGAAAATTAGCCATTTTTTTCCCTTTTGTTTCAGATTGTAATTGGGCAGTAAGTTTTCTAGTATGTTTCCTTTACAAGTCAGACAAGTTGCTTTGAGATAACTTCTGCATACCTGGATATTTAAATACTGATATCTATTGTATTACTGTTACATAGTTCACTCATTACTCCTTTCTTCCCTCCCTCAGTTTGACAAAAGAAGAAACTGAAGCCCAGAGAAATTACAACTTGGTCAAAGTTACAAATGGAGTTGAACAAGAGCAGGAATGAGAGTTACATCATCTGCCCAAATAAATTCTGTAACTAGACTTAGTGCTCTTATGTGCTCAATGAAAATGAGGGGATCTAGGCTATGGAGGGCAGGAGAGGTCAGACAGAGGAAGGCAAGAAAGTTTGTCTATATCCACTAAGGTAGTATTTTTTGACCTTTTTCAATCAATAGTAGACCTATAAATCTGCTAGAACCTACATGGAAGGCATTCTAACCCCTATCTGGACAACTACTTTTCATATATGCCTCCCATCCCCTATTATATCTTATGTGTGTATGTGTGTGTGTAGTGCAGACATACTAGTGCTTTGCCAATGATCCTTTTATCTCCCCATCATAGTTAGCACTACCTTTACCTTTCAGGTCCAAAATTGTTAAAGGGAAATGAAGCAATTCAAGATGTTGAACCACAGAGAAACATCTATGATTCACTTGCCATTGGCTAAAGATAGTGAACCAATTTACTCACTTCATTCTATGTCCTCACAACCAAAAGTCATTACACTAAACCCACAATCCTCAGGGAGGCAAACTGAGAGTTAATTGAAGTCTGTAATTTCAGCTTTCTCCTGGCATAAGCTGAAAGAGATGTTCTCTCTCAAGAGGTTGAGGAATTGTCAGTTGCTTACAGGGCACGCCATCAGCAAATCTCTATTCTGGAAGTGAATTTTTTGGGGAAAGATTTTGCTTCACAAAGCATATCCCAGGGCCAAAATGGCATCAATAAATTCATAAGACTTAAGAGAGGCTGGGGAGGGGGTTGTTACATGAACAAGAGTAGTATGATTTTAAATAGTACTGTTTTTTTTTAAATGCAGAATGGAAGGTAAGAGTATCTGGAGAAAAGATGTAGGGCAGGAGAATTAGACTTTATTTTTAATAAACTATACCCTGTTCATTCATGGACCCAATTAAGAGCAACTCAGGCCAAAAAAACCTATCCAGATAACTGATCTTCTGACCTATAAAATATACACTCAAGCCAAGAGGTCAGTTTAATTACTTTGAATAACATATTTATCTATGTATTTCATTGTAGCTAATCCTTAATTAGAGTGCTTTAAAGAAACATTTGATATTTGTTTAACAGGATTATTAAATAAAAATTAAATGTGAATTAATTAACTTAAAAATGCTACCTAATTTCCAAAAAACCCAAAAAAAAGCAAATGCTTTTGTGCTGACAAACAACACTTGTCTGTTTTTCTCTCTATATTTTCCCAGATTCCCAGGTGACCCCCTAGCCCTTTCAATTCTTCATTTCTATGGCAAATCTCACTTCACAAAACGCATGCTTCCATTTGATTCCTGCTGTAAATTCACCAAAAAGTAAGTTGATGGATCCATTCTTGCTAGAATTTCAAACATGTCCCTCCCCTCACATATCCTTCCCAAAGGGGCCAGTGAGGCCCCTTGAGTTGCTTTAAATGTCTAATTACAAACACTTCATTAAAAACGATGTCCGTCATAGCTCGTGTCAATCTGGTCCAAGCTTTCATGCCAAAAAGTGAAGACTTTCAAGCTGTGCATTTCTTACTATTAACTTTCCAATCTGGTTTTAGAATCTCAATCAGTTCTTTAAGGAATGCAAATGCTACCTCTCCCTTTAGTCCAGCATTAGCCACTGGGAAATGCTCCTGCATAATATCTTCCTGTCCATGCATGTGCTGGAGTAATCATCAAAGCTGGAAGGACAAAATCTATATTCTGAAGGATATACTGTCTTCTCTAACTTACTTTTCCACAACCAAGGAATAAGTCTCTTCTTCACTATGATTCCTACTCTACCTAGCTAGGTGGTTCTGCCACTCGGTAGGATAAATTATGTTCTTTACCATCACAATCATTTTATTGTTGTTCAGTCATTTCATTCATGTCCAACTCTTCCTGACCCCATCTGGAGTTTTCTTGGCAGATACTGGGGTGGTTTGCCATTTCCTTCTCCAGCTCATTTTATAGATGAAGAAACTGAGGCAAAAGGGTTAAGTAGCTTGCCCAGTCACACACCCGTAAGTGTCTAAGGCTGGATCTGAACTCAGGTCATCCTGACTCCAGGCTCAGTGCTCTCTTCACTTCACCACCTCACAATCATTAAACCAGTATTTATGTAGCCCCCTCAAGCTTTAGTGCATAATCCTAGATAGTAGGGACTTTTTTTTGCCTGTCTCAATAGGAAAGCAGGTGATGTGGTCCTGGACATCTTAGCCCCGTACAGCATGGAAGTGAAGCTGGCTCCAGGGCCAGACCCAGCACTACTAACTTTCTCTACCAGCAATAACCCATACAAAGATGTGCCACCTGATTACCTTATTGATAATTGCTTAATTGGTAGCTGCTGGCACTTTCATTTCCTACTTAGGCTCCCAGAGAGCTTGGGGTGGGGGAAGCAAACAGTCTGGTGTCAAACAGAAACAAATCCCAACTTTGCTTTAGTTTAGAAAAACACAAATTAACATTATCTATCTTGTGTTATATTTTTATTTTGTTAAACATTTCCCAATTACATTTTAACCTGGCTCAGTGGCACCCCTGGGATTTGCAGGTGCTTGTAGCCTGCAGGAGAAGGAGTTTGATATCTCTACTTTAACAATTGTAATGCCTCCATATCATAAGATTAAGTATAACAGGAAATGGCACCAAGATGCTAAGAGAATAATAAATGGGCTCATTTGAACTTGTTAACCCCCATCCGAGACAGTCTCCCTCCACATCTCTGAGGGTGGGAATCCTTTACTTTCTTCAAGGCCCAGCTCAGGAAATAGCTCCTTTATGAGGCTTTCTCTGATCCCCATACCTAAAGGGGAGTCATCCCCCTACAATCTCTCTGCTTCTCATTTTTTACTTCTGTGTTGTTTCTTCAGTCTACATTTTTGTGTTCTTGTCTCATAAAATTGGAGGAATTAGAAAATTGGATCACGGAGGCCTTGGGGTCCCACTCCATCTTTATGAAATATCCAACAAATAGTTGTCCAGTTTCAGTTTGAAGATCAGTGAGGAAAACCCACCACTTCCCCAGGCAACACTTTATTTACACTTCTGTATAGGTCTACATGGCAGCTAGGTGGCCCTGTGGATGGAGCACTGGGCCTGGAATCAGGAAGACCTGAGTCCAAATCCAGCCTCAGACACTTATTAGCTGTTGTGACTCTGGGCAAGTCACTTAACCCTGTTTGCTTCCGTTTTCTCATCTGTAAAATCAACTGGAGAAGGAAATGGCAAACCACTGGAATATCTTTGCCAAGAAAACCCCACAAAGAGTCAGATATGACTGAAAACAACTGAACAACAACATAGGTCTTAATTGATCAGAAATTTCTCTTGACCTAAACTCAACCTAGGTTTCTCAAACCTAAATCTGTCATTCTGTTTCTTCTACATTTTACTCCTAGTTCTAACCTCCAGAAAAACAGGACTCATAGCCTTTCTTCTACACAACAGCCCATCATTTGAAGAAACTTGGAGACAGCTACCAAGTCCTTCCCCCTTCCTGCTCTTATTCCTTCCAAGCTAAATATCTCTTGTTCCTTCAACCAACTCTCATATGGAAGAATCTCAATGCTCTTTACCATCTTGGTCACCCTCCTCTGGATGCTTTCCAGTTTACTGATCTTCTTCCCCAAATGTGGCTCCTAGGACTGGGCACAATACTTCGGTTTTACCCTATCACCTCTCTGAGACTCAGATTCCTCATCTCCTACCAAACTGTGAATTTCGAGTTATTTTTCAGCTTTGCAACTACAGCTCCCAGTGATGTCCTGCATATAAGTGTGTACTTAATAAATGGCTGCTACACTAAATTGAAGAAAAGGAATAGCTCAGTGGGTAAGGGAGTTAAAGGTATTGCTTTGCTCAGTTCTTCCCTACATATTGAAGAGCTGAAAAGAGACATGGTATGGTGAAAACGGCACTGGACTGAACAACTGAAGACCCGGGTTCTCTGTTCTGCCACCAACTGGATGAATGGGTACATCATTTCTCTGGACCTCATTGTCCTCTTATGTAAAATGAGGAAGCTGGACTTCAGTGCTTCTAGGGGCTCTTCTGCATCTAACATTCCAGGAGGTTAATTTGTAGTAGGGAAGAACTCTGACACTGCCCCATGAGAATTGGTTTGTTCCCCTACACAAGTAAAAGCATTTGGATTTGAAGCCAGGCTCTGAGGCATAGCAACCAGCTCCAGTGCTTCTATGGGCACCATCCTAGACAGGGATGCTGCTTTCATGACCTGCGAGAATCATGGATTGTGGAGCAGTGACGTATGACTATATGGCAAGCTTCGCCTTCCTACAGAGAAAGAGGAGGGACAGAAATTCCCTTTCTCATCCTCCTTCTTCCATACCCATCTTCAGAGGGGATCACTCTTGGAGTTTGAGAGAGTGACCTCAGACCTAGAGGAAGCAGTGCAGACTTTGGAGTCAAACCACGTGCTCAGTCCCAACTTAATAGCTCTATATGACCTTATTACCCCAATAACCCCACCCCTCAAGGTGCTAACTAGTAAAACTGAGTCTCATCCCTCACCTTCCTCTGCCCTTGCTCCAGTAATAATTCTAACAAGCAACAGAATCACTAAAGAGCGTGTAAAGCCAAAGTAAAAACAAAAACAAAAGAGACATCTCCCATAAACTGAATCAGTCCTAGAATGAAGGTTGCCTAGGAGCCTCTTTCCCCCCCATAATGCAGTTATTTATCTGGACAGGCAACCTTGGCACACAGTAAGTGCATAATAAATGTTTATTAACTTCATTCCCTATGGAAAAGTAGCATTATATATTAAAAACAAAAATAAAAACAAAAACTGGCCATGGACAGAGGGCAAATAAATATTTTTCCTAGTGTCCTGTGGATGTGACCTTTAGGTTTCAAGCTTTTTCTGGTGGAGAAATGAATCTTAGATCAATCGATTGATCAAATATTTATTAAGCAATTACCACGTGCCAGGCACTGGAGTAGGAACTAGGATAGAGAGATTCACCCAGTGACAGCCGGGAAACCCTGCTTAATGGTCTAACATAGTGAGGATCTGTCCAACCCAGTTTGTCCTCTCTCCAGGAGGCCACTGAACACAAGAAAATGCGTGGCAAAGGGAAACTAACTCTATCCTTGAATTTTCTTTTTGGCTAGGTTAGTTCCCTCCCCTCCCCCAAAGGATCTATACCAGCCATGCTGACTTCCAACCCAACTCAGCTAAACTGTTTTTTTTACCTCCCCCCAACACCTTCCTCCCCCTTTGAGTTCCCTATTACGTATTGTCTTCCACCATTTGAATGTAGGCTCCTTGTGACTTGATTATTGCTTATGCTACTTAGCATAATGCCTGGCACAAAGCAAATGCATAATCCAATCTAAGAACAAATAAGAAACTCAGGAGAGTCCATTTTATGCAGTTCAGATTCAATGGAATATGAGAATATAGAATAGAATATCTGAGATAAATGAGACTTTAGAGATCATCTAATCCAACCTCTTTATTTTATAGTTGAGGAAACTAAGAGGGGGGTGGGGAGGGGGAGACAAAGTGATTGCCCAAGATGACGAAGCTACTGCATTTAGCTCCAGAACCAGAATGGAATTCAGTTCTTCTAGACTCTTGGTAAAGGGTTCACCCCAAGCTTCTGTTTTGGTTTATAATTGCTCTTATCTACCTCAATCTACCTTACTTTTAGGTTGCGCTCTCAGCAAAATTACTTAACTGTGTATGTGGGATAGATATGTGGGGTTCTTGTATGGGAAATCTTTGTCAACATCCTATATAATGTAAATCTTTTGGAATCTGGGGAGAAAGAGCCACTCCCATTCCAGATCACTCTTTACCAAATGACCTAATAAATTTATTCCTAAAACTATTTCAGATTTTGGGGTCTGTTCTTGCAAACAGCAAAATGGTGGCAAGTGATGGAATTCTCTGATAACCATCTGAATAAACCAAAGAGTCTCCAAGACCATGGAAGCTGAGTAGGTCTCTGTGATTCTAGGACTGAGCATGGTCGGGACTGACCAACACAGGATCACATAGAACACAGCAAGAATACAGCGAGTATCTTCAGGTTTAAGTCAGTCATAATCTCGGCCCTGACTCCATGTTTCCTTAAAATTAAGGTGCTGCACTTGGCTTTAGCCCAAGGAAAGACTTGGGTAGTTTTAGAATTCCCCCAGGGTGCCCTAATCCCTAATCAAATAAGCAATCCTCTTGACTGGATCACTTAAGGGCTTGATAAGCAGCCGCTAAAAACTAAAAATTTGGTTAAAATCAATTTGGAGCTCCTTTGGTAGAACTTTTTCTTTTCTTTCTCTTCCTATCTTTCTCTTCCACTCTCCTGAGATACCTGATCTGTGACTAGCCAATAGCTGCCCAGATGTCCTGGTGAATGTGGGCATGAATTCTATACTCATTCCCTTAGGAGGACCCTAGGTTAGTGAGGTGGGATTGATGAGGCTTCCACTTCAGAAGTTCTTTAGTGCATACAAGTTCTTGTTTACCTTGGAAAACTTTGAAGGGGAACACTTAGTCACCCATAAGGGAAAAAAACTGCTGTGAAAGCACAGAAAGGAAGCTTAGAAGAGGGGAAAAGGCTAATGAAATCTCATACTTAAAACAGCTCTCCTAGCTCTTTGTAATATTAAGCAAGGACTTGGACTTGACTTTCACGAGGAGATAAGAAGGAAAACTGCAAGATTCTGTTGAAAGTTATCTTGACTCAGTTATCCATTTTCCCCAGCCCTGCTTTGGTGTTGGGGAAGGCTCTGGTGAGGAAGGAGACACTAAGTCTGCAGCTTTTTGTACCACCTGCTTACTGCCATGTACCCCTACCTGCAAATTGTCACATTCTTGGTACCTTGGGGAGGAACTGAGATGCAACAGCCCACCTTCTTTTGCTGAGGTGGACCTATCTGTATTGCCTAAAAGTTACCTATAACAGCTGTCCCCACATTGAAGCCATTGCTGATCTCCAGTGATCAGCCTGTCAACATGTTGCTACTTTCATGTACTTATAATAAAATCCTTCTAATTCTCTTTGTCTTGAGTTTTGCATCAGGGTAAAAGCCTAAATGAAGAATTTTCCTTTCAACAATTCTTTCTTTCTCTCTGCCTTCACAACTCTAGCAGGGTTGGAGATTGCAGAAATAAAACAAGAAAAGAGAGGAAATCTTTTTCCTGGTTTGTAGAAATGTACAGCATTATAAACTATGTAATTAGAAACTGCAATTTGTAAGCAAAATGTAATACCTTTATGTATTTCCAAATTTTTGTAATTGCTAAAACATCTAAATGGATATTGGAAATTTGCAGCTAGGATTAAGATTAAACACAAACAGTACATGCCTGCTTCTCCCTTTCCTGGAGGGTGATATATGTATTGTTCTGGTAGAAGGTGATTTTATCTACTAGAGAACAAGCAGAACTGAAGTTAGTTTGAAATGATTCAATAGAATTTAATTGTTTAGGAAAATTAATAGCAAAGCCATCTAAGCTGAAATAGACTATGCAACTCCAGAAGTAAAAAGTATAGCAATTAATTGATATTATATAAGGATATCTATACAGTAGAGATTCAGTGGAATATCAAATTAGAGTACGGTTGGGAAATAAGATGTGATGGATTTAAGAAAGTAGAAAAAGTAAAGAGAAATGAGAAATTAAGAGGGTAAAACGAAAGGTTAGCTTCAAAGGTGGTAGGCTTTAATCAAAGTTCACTGGGAGGAATTTTTTTTTTTGTGCAAGAGAGAAGGTTTAAGTAAGCAGAGCTAGGAGGAGATTGGGTGTAAAGTTAAAGAAAGTTGGAGTCTGCTTGCACCAACAGTGTGAATAGAGGGTTTGAAATTCAAGAGTTTGGAGTTTTGGAAAAAAGGTTTGAGAAGGGTTTTGATTCTGTTGAGATAAGAAGGATTTGAGAAACTTTTTAGAGGAGTATCTGTTATCAATTTCAGATAGATAGTATTCTATCAAATTATAATGTTTACCAAATGGAAACTCTTAGAAATAACTTTGCAGCATGAAATTATTTGAGCATAGCATACTAAAATTCTGTCCTTAGAAGGGTATGTCCCAATCCTTATAGCCTCATGGACTCCAAAAAGAGGAGACTGCGAATGTCAGACTTGTCACCATGTGTCTTTGAAAGTAAGCTAACTGAAAGCAGTGGGTTCTATAATTAGAGCTTATGGCCCTTGGGAAAATTGAGATTTTGGATGTTACCATTAGTGATTGTAAATCCAGATTTCATTTGCTTGAAGTTTATCCTGAAAGTAAATCATAGCATGGTTTCATTCACAGTGAGATGTGTTCCCCTAATAGGACAATTATGGTAAGTCAGAACTTAATGAAAAATACATATGATACTTGACATTAAGGCAATATGCTTCGAAAATGCATGGATCAGGAAAACTTGAATTCAAATCTGATCTCAGAACTCCAGCAAGTTACTTTGTTTGCCTTAATTTCCTTATCTGTAAAATGGGATGAGATTGTTGTTAGGATCCAATGAGATAAATTTCAAAATGCTTAGCACAGTGCCTGGCACATGGTAAGCACTATATAAATGTTAGCTATTATTATTTTTATTAAATATAATTAT